TTCGGTTTAATTATTTGTTAATTCTTGTTATTTTCTGTTCCTGATTGACACCTGTTAATACTGATGTAAAAAAGAAATAACACTGCTATAATGTTGCATAATTTACAAACCTCCCGCTATCCTGCCCCAGTAGAGGTTTGAGTTTGAGGTTTGAGTTAGTCATCAAATTCTTTCTGTGAATGATTATCATCATAAAAGGTCTTGGGTTCAAATTGATTTGGAGAATTAAAACTATTGTTACTTTTCTACAGTGTTTATGCTGCAATTTAATTCATGGTAAAGAACATTTACAACAACAAGGGACTAAGCTGAAAAGAAAATCAATAAATCAATGAATGAATAATCACAACAGACTGGGCCATCTGACCAATCAGAGGAGAGCAGACTCTTAAAGATGAGGATTTTAAACTCTAGTAATCACTTTTTATCAAGTGCTTTTGCTTAAATTGTTAAACAATTATGTGGATTTTTATTATTACTGTTAATACATATAAATAAATTATGATAATCAACATAATTAAAAAGTAATAATTAATACTGTTGATTAAGCATGTTTATCCATTGGTTATTATTAAAACAAGACGCTCCAAATTTGCGATTAATACTGTCTGTAACACTTTTTTTTTCTTTTTTACAGTGCAAGTCAAAGGGTTAAAATGCAAAGGTGAAAAATGAAATTCACCATATATACATCTAGTAAATCTAAATGAGAGGATTTACTGAGCAGGACAATAGTTTTGCACATAGTAAAAGTTTACATGATAGGTGTCAATAGGTGTTCCTGGAGAGCCGCAGCTCTGCACAGAAAATGCACAGGTTGCTTTTTTCAACTGTGGCTGCATGCATTAAAGTAGCCTTCAATGAAATATGGTGTGTCTTTCACCAAGGCACCACAGGGCGCTAAAATAAACGTAACTTGGTAAACTGGCAGTGGGCTGGTTATAGAGAGCAAAAAAAGACAGAACTTCAGACTTGTTTTTTTTCGACATAATTTTTAAATATATATAAACAACTGTGATCACATATGTTCTTAAATATCTGCAAACATACAGTATTTTATGCTAGAAGAGTGAAAAATCTACATACAGCACATTTAAAGCAGGGTTGGAACTAAACTAAAAATGATAGGATCATTAATCATAACATATGTTTTTAGTCTATTGTAACTAGTTAAACTAAGTCATGTTCTAAATTAGTTTGATTAGTTACACAAGCTGTTTTAAATCAGTTTAACATAAGGTTATTTCAATGGACTCATACGTTTAATTTGATTCAGCTTAAAAGTTTAAGGCAACCAAGTTTTTTTTTACAGTGCAGGACATCCATGGTCTACATCACAATGTATTTTTCTAACAAATATTGTAAAAAAATAAAATAAAATGAAATGACCATGACCATTACTATTACCACACAGCCACAGTCTAGGCAGATTGTTCTATATTAGAATATGTCAAAGGCATCTTCTAATGTGAGCTTCAGCTTCTTAATGTTACGAATCTTAAAATAAGTTTCTCCCTGACAGCATATATGGAATAAATTTTCCATTTTAAGACTGTACTTTAATATCTAACATCCTGTGCACAGAGCCTGAAAAGTCGCTGCTGGAATGACATTAAAAAGACAAACAGTGCAGTTGTTTTTCCCAAAACTCTCTCATGACACACTAATATGTCAATAAACTCAGCAGAAACGCAGATGGCAAGGCATCATGGGAATAACTGACATTTTAAAGATGTGGTAATAGTGATGTTGATATACAGAAGTTAATATATAGACCCTAAACCGGCTTTATGTGCTAAATGATGCATATGAAGCCCCATGTTTTTTGTTGATGGATATCTTTGTTATGTGCATGACGTGAAATGGCTTTTTGCCTTTGCAATGTAAACATTTCCCAAGCTTCATTCTTCCTCGCGGAAAATCTTTTAATTAAAAACATCAACATGTCATATGCATGAATTAAAGATGAATTATAAGTTTAGTGAGGATGCTGTGGGTTGTAAGCGATCATACCAACTATCAGCTCTTGATTTCTGTGAACTTTGGCAAAAAAAATCTGAAACGATTATGTTGCGCTTCCCATGGAAAATATTCCATAAACAATTGACATATGCCTATTTTAGCCTGTGCTATTCACAAATATTTGCCTGGGGAAATAATTGTCTGAGAGAGAGTTTACATTTTCAGCAATCACCGAGACATGGAGACCTCTTTCTAAAAAAAACCCTGTATTTTTCCACAGTATAAATACTACAATACCAAGGGAGCTGTGTGTTTTATGAATAAATGTTGACGAAAAATCAAAAGGTAATTTAGGAATCTTTCACATGTAAGATCAATTCTATCTATAAAACTTTTATAATTTATTTTATAAGAATGATTTCAAGGTGAATGTATAGCTCTTTTAGCTGTTGTGTCTAAACGCACAGGAATAAGAAATGATTCTTCTACAAAATAACCACTAGATGGTGATAAAGACTTTAAATATGAAGCTTTCATTCTATGGTGGTTTTAGTGACTTTTATTCGTAGTGTTTTCTGAGAATCTGTTCATGTTCCAGTTATGTACTTGTGTTTTGACTAGGGAAAGGGACTAGGGTGGTTTTAAGGAAATACATTTTTTTCATGAAAAGATGAGGAAGCCATTAGTATTGTAGGACTAGTCTGGTCTCAAGGCTGTTTTTCCTCAAGGCTGTTTTTTTCTCAAGTCTAAGTCTTGTTCTCATACTTAAAGGAGGATTTTTATGTGTACATTTATTCATTTAGCAGACACTTTCATCCAAAGTGACTTACGATGAAAGAAGCACTTCAAATTAGCAGAGAGAGGCTAAAAGTAATATAGCAGTTATATTGCTTGTAATTGAGTGTTTGTAGAAAAGTGTCTGGTGGAGGAAAAAAAAAGGTTTATAGTGAAGTAAAGTGGTTTACATGTGGTTTATAAAGCGCGCACACTTGCATAAGCAGCACAATACCAAACTAACACAAAAGCTAAATTTGCACAATATTAATTTTCAGGTCAAGGTACACTGTTTGGAACTGTCTGACTATTGAAATAAAAAGGCAAACAGATTTGAACATATTGCAAAGAGTGTTCAAATAGTGGTTCAAAATGAATCAGCTTTGTGAACACTGCATACTTCTTAAAATATTATTATTATTTATTTCTACTGGTATTTTGTGTTTGGTAATGTGTCTTAATATGTATTTTATAAAGAAATGTTTACTGGTTTAGTGTGCAAAAAGGGACTAACCAGGTTTAGTGTACAAAAAGGGCCTAACCAGGGACTAAGGCTGCAAGTTAACCATTGACTATAAGCCAATATTCCGTATGTGGAGCATCGGCTGCTTTAAACTGTAGCAGTGGGATACTGCATTTCCCTGTTAAATAGGCCTACTAACAAATAATAAATAAGCACATACAAAACTGCACAATATTTTCCAGTAATATAGTGTTTAAATCAGGAGTGTCAAGTTTTTGGTGGGTTGCATCACTCAATGTTAAGTTAAAACCCAAGCTGCGGTCACACTGGACTTTTCTCCCCATAGATTTCCATTTATATGCACACAAATGTGTCAGGAAACGCAATATTGTGCGTCAAGTTTGACAGATCGCTGCGTTGGAAAGTTAAAACTTTGTTGACTCTGCGCTTCGACAACGCATCACTTGACTGTGTGAGACCAATCGAGGATCAAAACATGACCTCTCTACAGAAATTTTAAATATGGAGCAATCGCTCGCTTTTTTAATGTCTAATAATCTTGTTTAATCCGCCCCTTTTTGCAGCGCCATACGATAGAATTTCCCAAGCTCAAACTCTAGGGCAACCGCAGCTTTACCTGTAGGTTTCGTACAAGCCTGAAGGACTCTGAAATTAGTTTGAACAGGTGTGTTCAACACCTGTGGTTTAAATCAGTGGTTTCCAAAATGGGAGGGTCGCTGGACAATGACAGGTTGTCTCTGGGTGATTTCCAAAAGTCAAATAAATTTGATTAAACTATTAGAATTACCATATTTTAACCATAACCTATGGGAATAAAGATAACAGTTTTAATAGTAAAAAACAACATGCAAATTAAAGTCATTAAATTATTATTATTTTTTAATAGGATCTGTGTTTTTACTTTAGATTAACAACACAGCAATAGCGTCGGCTGCAGCAGATTGATTTTTATAGCACCAGGCAAACTTTGACACCTTATTGGCAATCAAATATACTAAAAATAAACACAGGACACAACTAAATAATGAGAATCATCTCTTTAAAATTAAACCTAGAATAGACTTGTGCTGAAGACATTGTGTCCACCAGAGTCATTAGTTGAGGTGAATATTAAATTAAACAAATTAATAAATGACTAAAAAAATGATATAGTTGTTAGACTATTGCACTTTTTTGTATTGTCAATAAAATCTTAAAATTTTAGATCATCTTTTTAAAAAAAGACCATGCCTATAAACACATTGTTAATATTTTAACTTGGAGTTTTCAATTTGTTGTTATTTTTCCAATGCTTTATCTAAAGTGTTTTTGCAAAAAGAGTCACTTTGTGAAGTTCAAATAGGACAGAGTCTGTTCTGCCTCATGAATAATTAATGAACCACTAATTTAACTGCAGCAAAAAATTTGAAGGTCAAATCAAATCATTACAATGATTATCATAAACGTAATGAGATATGTCTCACACAACTCAATGTATTCAAATAGCACACTGCAGTCTATGCATATGAAAACTATTTCTTTTTTAATGCAAAACTGGCACTTGAACTCTCACTTCCTAGATTATCAGCTTGTCCCCTAAGGACCACAAACTCACTGATGAAAAGAACAGTAAATTTATTCAAATGCCATTTATGGTGTGTCTTTTTTTTCATGCCTTCAGTATTCCTTCCTATTCGAAATGTGGACATCTGCTTATACTGTTTTGTTATCGTCACCATATTTCTCATGATTTGTGTGATAGAAAACAGGATCTCATCACCTTTTATTTGATTTATTCCAGATCTTTCTACATTCTGAGGCCAAAACCTCAACTTTTATCTGGGGGACAAACAATGCAAGAAAATGCCTGCAGCGGAGAAAGTCAACTGGAGAGTGTGAGTTTAGTCAAATTGTTCATAAGTATATGCATAAAAGGCGCAGGAGACTTTCACAGTAATGCGACAAAATAAAAGAAATAAAATAAAAAAGAATAAACAAATAGTAAATAGCTGCACTATAATATTATTAAAACTATAGATCTAAAACAATATATGTGCAGTAGGATTGGAAAGTACTAACAGATATTGTTAAAGTATTTCGCAAATTATAATAATACATTGTTTTAAGTAAAGTGTTCAGTAAGCAAGCAGCATTAGCAGCATCTCGTAAGCAAGCAGCATAGACTATTAACCTCCATTATGTGTAACTTTTTATCGATTTCACTGGTCATTATGTAAGAAGGGAGTAATTATTGGAGTCGGTTAAGAGGATTATTAATCATTGTTGGGCAACAATAGGCGGTGGAGCTCAGTGTGAATGGTTTGGATGGTACAGATTGCATAGAAAAGGATGTTTTCAATTTTATGAGTGAAGCAAACAATAATACAGTGCCAAGCATTAATAAGTGCACCCCACTGAATATTGATAGCTGTTTATAGAGCAGGTGTGCCTAAAGTTTTTCTTATAAAGGGCCAAAAAACATTTTTGAAAACTAGATTGTAAGCCTGTGGCTGCATCGCATCATCCAAGTGGATGCTGCACACTGGTGGTGGTGTGGAGAGACCCCCCCCCCATGATTGTGAAGCACATTACATTACATTAAGCTGAATACATTGCAAACCCTATTACAAGAAATTTGCCAAGGGGAATTTGCTAATTTATTCGATAATATAAAACAGATTAGTCCACAGATATTTAGCCCACAATTGATTCTATTTATTTACTTGTGTAAATGTGTGTACATTTTTATATTTATTCAGTTTTTAAATTAATTTCAGTAATATTATTGACTAATAGGGAAGTGTTCATTTGATTAATTTACAATACAGTTTAAAAAAATAAATGTCTGTGGATTCTGTCTGGCCCTACAGTTGACTTTTAAATTGTAAATACTGTCACTTGACAGATATAGGACATTGTACAAGTCTGATTAACATTGAATTAAATTATTTAATAATAGTTTTTTGTAGCGCAGCATTAAAACAAACAAACAAACAAACAAACAAACAAACAAGAGGTCATGTTAAAATCGAAATGTCAATTTCTGTCAAAGGCATTCACTCCAACCCTCTCCATTATTCTCACTCTCTTTTCAGATGAGACAGTGGGCCAAATCAAAGCTTACCATGGGCCACAGGCTCTACTTTGCCCATCTATGTTTTAGAGAATATATGTATTGGTGCGTTTTTACAAAAGCTTTTATTTGTATTAATTAAAATTAAAGTGACATCTATAGGATTAGAAAAATAATACATTAAAAATCACACTGGTTAAATAAAATGAATAAAAATAAAATACAAATACCTAAAATATTCATTGGAGTGTATTAATCGGTGTTAATTTCATCAACAATAATGGCTTGACTCAAACTTGACAGGTCTGCTGCGCCAGTAACATGACTGAATGCGCACACTCTGATCTGTTCAATTAATAATGCAATGCAGTGGATTAGAATAAAATTAATGTTAATTTTTATCTTTATGCTTATAATTTAGTCTCGTCTTTTTTCCTCAACAATAATTTGATGTTCTTTTGAGAGGGGTCTGACTGCAGTCCAGGTGCACATGCAAGCTGAGACTGTATACAATTATTTTAATTGCATACAGTCTATTTTAAACACCTAACCCCGCCCCTAACCCTACCCATTACAGTGATATCACCAACTCTATTAAGTTCATGTGTCTAAGACTGCATGTCTGAGAGACTATTGCAGAGGTGCCCAGATTTGTGTCCGCCTTTGATTTGGCCCACCATCCCATCTGAGAAGAGAGGGAGAATGATGGAGATGGGTTAGAGATTATCATTTCAAATTTGATGTACCCTTTTATTAGTTTGTTTTGTTGTTAAACGACAAATAAGCTAACTGAAATTAAACGTTTCAATTTAAATGGTTCCTCAACGGATAGAGGACAATGCAGAGACTTTGGTGAGCGAATCAAGGCAAAGCCACTTGCTGCTTGACTAGTTCATATAGTAGTGAACTACACTGTTATAATTGTAATTGTTTCTATTGCAGTATGTTATAATTAAAGTTTTACTGCATTAGTTAACAATCCAAAGTAATGCTTTCAATCTATTTATAAATATTATGAAATGAATTAGAAAATTACGCATGGCAACTTTAATGTAATATAGTTTGGTATATTTATTTACTCCCCACGACTCTCAATGATATTTAGATTTTGACCCTTGATATGAAAAAGTTTGGGCACCCCTGGATTATTAGAAGTTTGCAGCCAGATACTATTGGCTTTTTTGAGATGAGCTGCTCAGAACACTCATTTATAGTTTTAGTCATGTTACTAGTGCTGATGACTGATCAAGTCACTTTTTTGCTTTTATTTTCTTTGACAACATTAACACAGATACTTATACTTTTAATATTTTGTTAAACTAGTTCCAGCCATTAATATTGACTAATCTGATGTAAAACCAGTAAACCAGATGTGCAAAACTATCTCATTTTTTACACTACAGGGCTGTTTAATACTTGATTCTGATTGGCTGATGAACATTAGGGCGTGCAATTATTTTCAGAAGTAGTGCCAGCCAAATCTTAACTGCATCACTGCTCTATATCACTACGCCAAATAATTCAGTTATTTCACTGCTACAACAGTTGAAAATCAAATCAAAGACTTTGGATGAGATGTGTACGAAGCTAGTACTACACACAGGAGATTTTTGAGGACAAGAACCTGTTAATTGTATGAAAAATATCATTTGAATAGCTGCTTTAGCTGTGGTAACCATAGTATAAGCGGAATAATTCACTCTGGTCGATAAAATTGTTTGAAAATAATTCATTCCCATCTGTGATGCATCACCAACTCGGGTGTGCTTTATTTTCGGAAATAATTTAATGGCCCGTCTTCATTATTGTCTCCTGCATTGAATGTTTTAATGTAAAAGGGAGATGGATTTTTTTCTGAGCAATCCATTATTGTGTACACATTTATTCTGGGAACTATAAGCATTGATATTTCAAATCTACTCATCTAAAAATACTGTATATTTAAGTGTGCAGAAATACTTGAAATCTTGCCTACAGAAGGGTTTGTGACTCGTTTTTTTTTTTTAAGCATTACCTTGTAAAAGGTTACACAATGTGGTGTATTCACTGGTACTTACAAACAGGTTGGTGGCAGTGATTAATGGTCTGAGCTGTGAACGTGTGGTGGTCCAATACTGAATCCTCAGAGGCAGTGACCCATAGACTGCAGGGTTTACTCTGCTACTCTATTGCCTTTGTGTCCTTTTTTGCCACTTGTTCTATGGGTCAAAGATGAAAAGGTGTTTTCAAGGATCAAAACAGATAAAAAAAAAACAAGACAAGTTCTGATGTACAAAAAATCTAAGTTCACATATATATTTCATTTTTTTGATGATATTTTAGGTATTGGTCGGGTAGTAAGTATAGTCAAAAAATTTAGGACTAACGAATAAGATGAATGTATTGTGATTGTATATAAAATGTCCTTTCATTTGGATTACATACTTTAACATAATTAAACAATAAAATAAATAATTGAATAATAAACATAATGTGATTTGACATTTGTTAGTTTAAACAGCATATATAAGTACACCTCTTTAATTCATATTTTAAATAGGAAGCTACAATATTATGTTTGTGCCTATTAGATTAGTCAGTTCTGAAGCCAAATCTGGAGCTTATCTAACAAAATAACTTAGGATAACAGTCCAAAAACTAGTACACCCAAAGTTAAATGTTATAGAAAAAATTAAACCGAAATATAAAGCGGAGGAAAAAATCAAGAGAAGTCAAAAAATCAAAACATTTAGTTAAAATTTTGTAGGTTGTAATTTTTTTGTACTTGAAATTAATTGTATTATCTTTCAATTTCTAAATATGTTCAGTGACTAAAATATTTTAATAAATATATCTGTTTAATATATATATATTTTTAAATGCACCGTAATACATTGCCATAGAGAAAAGGATACAAATATTTATTTTCAAAATGGGCTGTACTCAATTATGCTGAGCACTGTGTATTTATATATGTACATATATGTATATACAGTTGAAGTCAGAATTATTAGCCTCCCTGAATTATTCGCCCCCGTTTAATTTTTTCTCAAATTTCTGTTTAACAGAGAGAAGTTTTCAACACATTTCTAAACATAGTTTTAATATGTCATTTCTAATAACTGATCTATTTTATCTTTGCCATGATGACAGTAAATAATATTTGACAAGACACTTCTGTACAGCTTAAGGTGACATTTAAAGGCTTAACTAGGTTAATGGTAATTAGGCAAGTTATTGTATAATGATGCTTTGTTCTGTAGACTATTGAAAAAAAATAGCTTAAAGGGGCTTATAATTTTGTCCCTAAAATGTTTTTAATAAAATGTAAAACTGCTTTTACTCTAGCCGAAATAAAACAAATAAGACTTTCTCCAGAAGAAAAAAATATTATCAGACATACAGTGAAAAAGGCCTTGCTCTGTTAAACATCATTTAGTAAATATTTAAAAAAAGAAAAACAAATGCAAAGGGTGGCTAATAATTCTGAATTCAACTGCATGACCCCAGCGGGCTGCCCCAGCGAACTGCCACTCGTCCTGGGCTTGCAGTTTGGTTTTAATTGATTTCTTATTTATTTATTTATCTAAATATATATATATATATATATATATATATATATATATATATATATTGATTTCTTTTCATAATCTGATTTAAATCTAATAGTATTCGATTTAGATTGATTCTAAGGAATCTGAATACATTTTTTTTTAAAAAACACCAAATTAAATAAATTCAAAAGATTACAAACATTTAATGAAAAACTTCATTGTGGTTACTTTTTACAGTGTACTAATAAGCATTAAAAATATCATACTGACCCCAGTCATTTGATTGTTT